CCGCTCTTCTCTTCTTTTTTCGTTTTCTTCTTCTTATTCCTCTCTCCATCTCCTCCCCTCCTAATCTTGCTCGCTCTTGCTTCTTCTCCTCCTCTTTTTCTTTTCTTTCCTCCTCTTCTTTCCTCCTCCTCCTCCTCTTCTTCTTCTTCCTCTTCCACTTTTACACCACTTCTCTTCCTTCCTCCATCTCCTCCCTTCTATTCCTACCTTCTTCCTCACCTCTTTCCCCTTCTTCTCTTCTCCTCCTCCACCACCACCTTCATTTCCTTCACCCACCTCCTCATTCCTCTTCCTTTTCCTCCTTTACCTGGACTCTCTCCTTTACACCCTTTTCCCCTCCTACCCTAATCCACCCCTCCCTCCCTTCTCCCTCCCTCCTCCTCTCCTCTCCCTTTCCTCCTCCTCCTCCTCTCCCTTTCCTCTCCTCCTCCTCCCTCCCTCCTCCCTTCCCTTCCTCCTCCTCTGCCCTCCCTCCCAGCCTCCTCCTCCTCTCCCCTTTCCTTCTCTTCCTCCTTCTCCTCCTCCTACTCTCCCTCCTCCTCCTCTCCTCCTCCTCCTCCTTCCTCCTCCTCCTCCTCCTCCTCCTCCTCCCTCCTCCTCCTCCCTCCTTCTCCCTCTCCCTCCTCCTCCTCTCCCTCCTCTCTTTCCTCCTCCTTCTTCCCGACCTCTACTCGGCCACCTGTGTCACGGGGGAGGAGGGGGGGGGAAGGGAAGAAGGGGAAGGTAGGGGAGGAAGGGGAGGGAAGAGAGGGGGAGGGGGGCGGGGAGGAAGGAAGGGGGGAAGGGGGGGAGGAGGAAGGGGGGAGAGGTGATTAGAGGAGGTGGGAGGGAGGATAAAGGAGGGGAAGGGGGAGGAGGAAGGGGGGAGAGGTGATTAGGAGGAGTCGAGGGGAGGAATAAAGGAGGTGGGGAAGGGGGGGAGGAGGAGGGAAGAGAGGTGATTAGGAGGAGGTGGGAGGGGAGGGATATAAAGGAGGGGGGCGAAGGGGGAGGAGGAAGGGAAGGAAGGTGATTAGGAGGAGGTGGCGGGGAGGGATAAGGAGGGGGGCGAAGGAGGGAAGGGGGGTGGAGGAGGAGGTGGGAGGGGAGGGATAAAGGAGAAAGGGGGCGAAGGGGGGGAAGGAGGGGGGGAGGGGGGGGGGAGAGGACACCGCAGGATACGCTGCGCCAGTTCCTGCTCCACACGTGGCATGCCGTCTAAGTCCCTTTTTTATGGCGTGTGGAAGGTGGAGGAGCCGCGTTGCCCCTTTTATGGCGGGTTTTTTATTCCCATAATTTCTCTCTCGCTCTCTCTCTCGCTCTTTCTCGCTTTCTCTCGCTCGCTCTCTCTCGCTCTCTCTCGCTCTCTCTCGTTCTCTCTCGCTCGCTCTCGCTCGCTCTCGCTCTCTCTCTCTCTCTCTCTCTCTCTGTCTGTCTAGTTATCTATCTATCTCTGTGTTTTTCTTTCTTTCTTTCTTTCTTACCTTCTTACTCTCTCCCTCTCCCTCTCCCTCTCTCTCTCTCTATCTCTCTTTTCTATTTCATTTTTTTGTATTCTCTTTCTTCTCGGGGGCGGATCTCGTAATGAAAGAGTCGATTCCATTTAAACAAAAAAGAACAAGGACATAAATAAATAAGAAGAACGAGAAAAAAAAGAAAGAAAAGAGAAAAAAAAGAGAACGAGACACGTCAAAACCTTTAGCGAACCATTTGGCCTAAGAAGCTGATAGAGCGATCACTCTCCCCCCCCCACCCCTCCCTCCTCCACCCCCACACCCCTCCCCCCCACCCCACCCCTCCCACACCCCCCCCCACGAGCTGCTGTTGCATGTCGTTGCGGTCTGTTGCAGGTTGCCAGCTCCCCCCCATCACCCCATCCCCCATCCCCCCCCATCCCCCCCATATCCTCGCCTGCTCGCGTGCTTGAGGGCAGGCAAAGGGGAACCGGGGGACGCTGTCGATTGACGGGCAAGAACGGTGTTGATTCGGGTGTATCATCGTTGGAGGGTGGGTGGGGGGTGGGGGTGGGGTGGGGGGTTAGGATGGGTGAGGAGGGAGGAGGTGAGGATGGGGGGTGGGGTGGGGGTTGAGAAGGAGGGCGGCGGGTTGAGAAGAGGAGGGGGAAGATGGAGGGAGTAGGAGGAGGGGAGGGATAAGAGTGGTGGGAGGGAAGTAGGTGAGGGGGAGAGGGGGAGGTGGGAGAGATGGATTCGAGGGCAGATAAGAGAGGTAAAAGTAGGGGGGGGGAAGGATGGGGGCAGTGTGAGTGGTGACGGTGGCGGGTCAATAAGGAGGGAGAGGATAGGAGGCAGGTGAGATGGGAGGGGAGGCAGGGGAGGAAGTAGGTAGGGGGAGGAGGAGAGGGCAGTGTGAGTGGTGGGGATAATAAGGGGAGAGGAAGGGAGGAAGTAGGGAGAGGAGGAGAGGGGAGAACAATTGGGAAAAGAAAGAGGGAGGCATTGGGTAAGCTTAGAGTGGGGAAATGCAAGGGTGGGGGGGCAATAGGAGGAGAGGTGGGGGAGGGAGGGGGCAATACAAGCAATCTGGACCTCCAAGCTGCTGTATTTTCGATATATTTTCGTAAATATTCTTGTTTTTCTTATCTCGATTATTTATTTTTTTTTTATTTGTTTATTTGTTAATTTTTTTATTTTATTTTTTTATTTTGGGGGGGTGCTCGTTTTCATTTTTTTTTTTTTTTCGGTATTTTATTTTTTGATTGGAATTTTGGTCCGTGTCTGGCTTGGTTCCTTTTATTCTAACCCGTAAAACGTAAACACGTGTTCCCTTATCATCCTGCTCGTAATTTTTTTTTTTTTTTTTTTTTTATCACGCGAGAAAAAAATAAACTTACCTTAATAAAATAAACTTAAATAAAAAGATGATAAACCTAACCGCCGATAAAATAACGAAAAAAACTATTACAATTATTTCTCGCTCCGGATTATCGTGGCCGTTTTCGTTTCGGGATTTGCACGCGCGTCGCTTTTGCGTTTTACGAGGAGGAGAAAAGGAGGCGTTTTGAGCCCCGATCCCCCCCCCCCGACCCCCTCCCCATCCCTACCCCGGTTCAAAAGCTGGTTCGGCGACGCGAGGGCCATCTGGGGGGGCGTCTGTTTGTTTTGTTGTGTTTTGTTTTGTTTTTGTTTTGTTTTTAGATTGTGACCTGTGAGGAGAAGGTGAGGAAGGGAAGGGAAGGGGGTAGGGAAGGGAAGGGAGGTGAGGGAGGGGAAGGGAAAGGAGGGAAGGGAAGGGAAGGAAGGGGAGGTGAAGGGGGAAGGGAAGAGGGGGAGGAAAGGAGGAAGAAAGGGAAGGGAAAGGGAAGGGAAGGAAGAGGGAGGGAGGGATAGGAGATATTTTCAGGGTGAGGAGGGACAGGCGAGAGAAAGGGTGAGGGAGGGGAAGCGTTCAGTGAGAGGGAGGAGAGGGGCGGGCAAAGGGAGGGAGGAGAAGGTCCCATAGAAGGTTTGAGGGCGTGGGTGAGGAGGTGGGGGGGGGTGAGAGGGAAGAAGGTTGCCACACAGGTTGACGATGGGTGTGGGTTGGGGGGGAGGAGTGAGTGGAGGAAAGGTGGAGAGGTGGGGTGGGGGGGAGAGTGTGTGGAAGGTATTGTGTAGGTGCGTGCGTGTGGCGCATTGCGGATACCCCCTCCTCCCCCCCTCCCCCTCCCTTCATCCCCTCTTCCCCTCTTCCCCATCCCCCCCCCTATCCTT